ATATGCGGAAATACTGAGGAAAAAGCTGGAAAGAGAACTAGAAGCTAAAGAAACGCTAAGTGATACGCAGATGGGATTTAGGAAGAAAAGAGGAACAATGGACACAATATATATATATATATATATATATTAAAAACAATAATAGGGAAGGAAATAAAGGAAAAAGGAGGAAAACTGTTCGTATTCTTTGCAGACATGAAGGCCGCTTTTGATAAAATAAAGAGGAAGAAAATATGGGATACAATGAATGAGAAAGGGATAAATAGAAAAATTAGGAAAAGAATAGAAGAAATATACAAGAAAACAGGGAGTAAGGTAAAAGTTGGAGGAGAAATAATTGGGGAGTGTGAGACTTACAAAGGCGTAAGGCAAGGGTGCCCTTTGAGCACCACGCTATTTAATCTTGCCTTCGCCGACCTGGAAGTGAAGATCAAGCAGGTGCAGGAAGGAGGGGTAGTGATAGGAAGGAAGAAAATATGGACATTAGGATATGCAGATGATATAGTGATGATAGCAAAGAGTGAAAGTGGAATGAAAGCAATGCTGAAAAAATTAAAAAGATACCTGGAAGAAAGGGGATTAGAGTTAAATGTAGGAAAATCAAAGAAGATGAAATGCAGGAGAGGAGGAGAAAGGGGGAAGGAAGAAGAATTCGAATGGGAAGGTGAGAAGATAGAGATGGTGAAAGAGTACAACTACTTGGGATATGTGATAAACAGAAATAACGGAAATAAAAAGCAGATAAAGAAGGTAGAAGGGAAAATAAATATGGGACTCGGAAGACTATGGGGGCTAGGAGAAAAGCTATTTAGAGAAAACTGGGAGCTACGGATGAACCTGTTCGATGCTCTGGCGAAAAGCGTGATTATGTATGGAGCAGAAATCTGGGGATGGAAAAGATATGAGGAAATAGAGAAACTACAACTAAAATACATAAAGTGGATATTAGGATTAGATAGAAACACGCCAAGTTATCTAATACGATGGGAAACAGGAAGACAAGAAATGAAAGAAACAGCATTAGAAAGAGCATTGAAGTATGAAAACAAAATAAGAGAAGAAAGAGATGGCTCAATAAAAAAAGAAGCATGGAGAGAATTAAAGAAAAGGGAAAGAAATGAAAAAGATAAAAAGGGTAAGAAAGAGGAGAGAGAGGAAAGGCTGGAGAAAAGTAAAATATACAGAGAGAGGGAAGAGGGAGATGAAAAGAGAGAAGAGTTTTGGGAAGAAATAAGAGATGAGCTAAAGAAAAAAGATGAAAAAGAACTAGAAGAAAAACTAGAAAAATCAAGATACATAAACGAGTGGAAAGAGCTGAAAGAAGAAATGAAAAGGTATAGGTTAAAGGAAATTCAAGGAGAGGGAAGAATAAAAGGCCTGCAAATAAGGGAAAGGTTTAGGTTAGGTAATGAAACGAGAGGAAGCAGGTATTGGGAAAAAGAAGAAAATAAGAGATGCAGAATGTGTATGAAAGAGGAAGAAAATTGGAAGCACATGGTAGAAAAATGTGAAAAAAGCAGAAAGGAAGGGGAAGAATGGGAAAAAATAATAATAGGAAGCAAAGAAAAGATAGCGTGGATGACGGAGATAAAATGGAAAAGAAGAAGAAACGAAGAGAAGAAAGAAAAAGAAAAGCAAGAAGACGAAGCTGCAAGACCCTAAGGAGAGACAGAAACAGAAGACAGAGAAGCAAGACTCGCAGACACATCTACACACACATATATACACACACATACACACAAAACACGAACATACGCGCAAACATAAACATACACATGCACACACACACAGGTATTGGATGATGGAGCAAAATGGAAAAGAAGAAGAATCGAAGAAGAGAAAGAAAAAGGTAAACTAGAAGACAAAGCATAAGATACTAAGGAAAAATAAGTGAGGTTGAGGAAAGGAAAGGCAGAGGGAGCAATAACAAGAAAAAGGTGTCAAAGCCTTCATAAGGAGAAAGATAGATGAAATGATTAGCAAGAAGGAGAGCAAAAGCAAAGGAAAGGCAAAGGTGAAAAGGCAAAAGAAAGTAATAAAGGAAAAGCTGAAAAGAAAATATGCAAGAAAGAGAAAAAAAAACAGAAGAGCGGAAAAGGCAGATCTTGGAGAGAGAAAGAGGAAGAAAAGATTAATCAGAAGAAAAATGAGAAGAAAAGAGGAACAGACAGGCGCAGAAGACAGGGATACAAGAGTTGCAGACACACCTACAAATGCACATATTTATACAACACACACACACACACGCGCACGCGCGCACTTACACACACACACACACACGCACGCGCGCACTTACACACACACACACACACACACACAAAACACATACATAATCAACTACACAAACTGGATACGAGACACAAATAGCTATATAAGAAATGTAAACCAAATGTAACATATAAATTGTAAATAAATAAACTAACTAACTAACTATATGGCATTTTCCACGCGATAGATTGCGATTATTATAGTATGCTTAGAAAAGATAACACAGATACATGGGTAATTCTTGGCTATTTCGATTGACTTGTAACTCTTAGGTTACGGATTTTTTTTTAATTTGGCACAATTATTTTACACATAAAATTGAGTTTTTTCCCAAATTTTGAAGACGATACATTAATTATATCAAAAGTTATTAACAATTAAAGAAAAATGATAAAAAATTTTCAAACAGCTGTATTTTAAAAACTAATAAAGATATCGAAGTCGGATTTTTTTGAAAATACTCATAATGCCTTAGAATTTCGAAATAATTACACAATAAACAATAAAAAATTTGTTTCGAAAGTTATTAACTTTTTGTTTAAACAATTGCTAATTTTTAAAAAAGTATATTTTTTTTTGAAAAATTCTTGGTCCTGCGTGTTCCTGAGGATTTTCGCTATCGAAAACAATCATAAAATTCAAGTGCCCGACATATCGGAAGGCGTAGTTTTAATCAAAAGAAGATGCCTCGGTGTACGTCGCAACGGCAGCGGGACGTCTTTGTGGTCTTACGCTGAGGCGTGTTCTTTTGATTAAAGCTACGCTTTCCGATATGTCGGGCACTTGAATTTTATGATTGTTTTCGGGTAAAAGAGCAATGGGCGAGAATAAGGTGTGGGAATGTGGGCAGAGAGCAGGCGAAAGGGTATAAAGATAGTAAGTGTAGAATCTGCGGAGAAAAGGAAGAAAACCTAGAGCATATGATTGAATGTAGTAAGGCAAAAGAGGAAATAGGGGGAAGGTGGATGAGGGAGTTAGAAAATCAGAAAATTACTGGCAGGAGAGAAGAGAAAGAGAATAAACTAATTAGAGCTCTAAAGGGAAGCCCGAATAGAGCAATATGCAACTATATTTACATGTTCGAGAAGTTGGCCAAATCGAGGGGAGATGAGGGGTATCCTGAGTAAGACTAGAAGCGAGCTTTTGAAAGGGAGGGTAGGAGAGAGGGAAAGTATGCGAGCGCGAATCTTGAGATTATAACAATAACACTATATTATTATAGAAGTAGCAGAAGTAGTATTTAAGTGTTAGTTGTAAGTATAGATGTAAAAGTGGAACATTATGTAAAAGGCCGTAAAGGCTATACATTGAGCAATAAATTATTATATATATACATATATAGTATATATATTTATCTTTTTGTACTCTTCAGTCAAATAATAATATTATGTCTAGATCACTCTCAGGTACGCTTGGAGTACGCGTAAGCTCAGGGTTGCTCTGATTTGGCTTGCGTATAATGTAAGATGTAAGATTTAAGCTTATGTAACAATAATAAATAGTCTAATATATACATTATTAACATAAAATTTTAAAGACGGAAACGGTAGAAAGCTACATAGGATTCATAAGTATCATAAATATCGCCCTGTAAGGGAGGATGAGTAAAGATTAAAACAAAATAGCAGAAAGTTTACCAATGTCGCAACGCTGGTCTGGCCAGTACTACACACGCTCTCTCGCTTTTCGCTGTATTCTTGCCTCTCCTTTTAATACTCAAAATTGGCTAAACGTCGCCGGCTACGCACATATGTGCGGATTACGTCGGCAACATTATTGCTCTTTCTCTCTTATCCTCTCCTTCTCTCCCCTTCTCACCTATTGCCTTCCGCCGCTTCGACTACCGACGCCGATCAGTAATTAGACCTAAAACAAAGCCACATCGAGCGTCGATACTTGGTTCGAACTATCAAGACATCGATATGGCAGCGGCAAAGGAGAAGACCCGCGGAAGAGAGAGGTGAACAGGGCAAGCCATCTCAACGATTGCCACACCCATCACAAACAAAAGACTTAAAAACGTCCTTTTAATAAGCTAGTGAAGCAAAGTCGCTTATGGTTGAATCGAGGAAGTAGCTCTAATTAATAGCCATAAAAAGGTTATATATCAAGAAAAAACTATGATGCAATCTACATAATTGTGCTAGAAAGGAAACTCGTGAATACAACTTTGGTTGTCTAACATTTTTTCATTTATTGCATATATCTGATATGGTTTTTATTATTTTTAGTATAATCAAATAACATAAAAATATAGTAGTACACTTATTATGTACTATGAATAAAACTGGAGAATAAAAGTCAATAACATGTAGTTAGGGTATTCATAAAGATTTGATCTTCTCTAACTTAGATCTGTGCGTGGCGGTTCTAGTACACACACTTTCGTTAACTAAAGACCAGGGAATCAAACCTTCACCTTTGACATCTGTGACTGATGCTCCACTGACTTACCTTATTATCTTTGTTATATTATTTTTCTTGGGAAATTATAGAGCAAAGAAATAAGAGAGTGATACTCAAATACTATAAATAACTAACTATCTCCACTTAATTTATTTTTAACAAGGTTTCACTGATTTATCTTCTAGCCTCATTATAAATTGAGTGGAGATAGTTTTTACTTATAGTATTTAGGTGTCACTCTCTTATTGTTTTGCTCTATAATTTCGCAAGATTTAATATAATTGATAGTGATAATATGGTTAATTATATTATTTTTCTCTTTAAAAATGAAATTTTAGTTATAATCGTAAAGTATGTTAAAAATTTGAAGCGAATAACAGTAAATCCTTCAAAATTTAGTTATATATTTTGACAATTACATTTATATTAGAAAAAAGACTATTTATGATTTACAGACGATAAAATAATTAATCTAATGTGAATCAATTTAAAGCAGTAGATATTAAAATAGCGACCCCTCTTTCATAAAAACTATGTGAATCTTGACTAGGTGCTATTTGTAAATCAACATTAAATAACAATTCTGTACGAGTGCTATTCAAATAAACTGGTAGAGCTAGCTTATATTCTACTGTATCCGTAGTAGAACGTTTCACCCATTTTAATATAGTCACATGCAAATCAGTCATTATTGTTGATGTTAAATACAGCATATTATTTTTACACTGTGCTCCTTGTAATTTTAATCCAGTTACTGCAAAACAGTAATCATCTGCCACCGTATTATCGCTGTTACATACGAAAACATCTAACTGCAATTCTTCTAAAGACCAATTATTCGCTTGTGCCACACATTGTCGTGTTGCTGTAATATATGCTTCTGGATTAAATAAGCCACCAAGCCAGACTGGGAAGTTCTGAAAAAAAATTGTAAGCATATTTAAACCATAATAAAACAGAATTGTAAACAGAAAAAGTATTTAAAGTTTTATTTTTCATAATTAATTCTTGAAAGTATTATTTATAAATTACGCATAAATTAAGGGTTATGTAAATATTATTATTATAACAGTATCTTATATTATTAAACATATAACAGATTGACAAGCCTTCATATTTTTGACATCTGCATTTTCTTAATAATATATTTAAAAATGACTTGAAAGAGATTTCGATTATTTTATGAAATGAACGAGGTTTCGATAAATAGCAAAAGTTAAATTTATTGTAAAATTTTTTTGTTTGTACTATTGTATAAATATATTGATTTTATAAATGTATTTTTTCTCTCGTAAAAACAAACTCAGGGAACCGTTCTGATTGAACATTTAAATTTAGTAATTTTTCGTAAATTGAGTAATAACTTTGTAATAAAATTTGCGTAATAAAATGTTATCTCTCTGTACTTATAAAAAATGGTGCGTAACCAGTGAGGTCAATGCCATAAATTATCAGGGTAACACCTGAGTCGCCAAGTGTTATTAATGCTCATGAACGGTATTAATGCTCGACCGTCAGAGGATATAATGGTCTGAGGATCTAATTCATGTGAGAAAGCCAGAGAGATTGTAACCTCTTTTCTTTATTTTTCTTCTCGGCTTCTGCTTTGATGTATTTGATGGCGTTCGATCTGGTGACTATTATTACTTGTTTTTTCTTAATATTCTTGATAAGTGGATATATTTGTTGAAGACTTTTAACACATAATCGTAGTGTTCATTTTTTTCAGTCTTGTTCTCGGTAGCCAGAAGCGCATTTAGAGAAAATGATTATTTGTTACAAGTATATGCTTTTATTGAACGATCAGTGATTAGTTTGAAGATAATTGAGGTAGACGATGTATCTTTTTGCTTTGGAATCATAACTTAGCATTGTTTTTATAGGATTGGTCAAAACAGAGTTTGCCTTTTTGAATTTTTTGTCAGAAGCCTTTAGGTATTTGTATTTCATTATATTCGCAAGCTTGTCTGGCGAATGTATTACTACATTACACACACACACACACAACTCTTTTGAAAAAAGGTGAAAAAACTACTGTTGAAAGGACACTTTAAGAGTTTGCGAATATAATATTCTCATCTATTTCATTTCTGAAATGGCCTTGATCATGTTCAAGGTTAAATCCAAGGTTACCAAAACGTGATCCCCCCCCCCCCCCCCAAAAATGGAGTAACTTTTATCTGAAACTATTTTGGACAAAACATTCACCAATCCAGAAAATTAAAATTGGCCACCGTGTATATATAATACAAGGCATTCTTCCTAAACGTTACCTCCACTGCCTATTTTTCTATTAATTTAAACATTTTTTTTAACATGTATAATTTATAAACATGTGCTTATTGTGTTCGTGATAATACATGTCATTATATAATTGAAGATAAGTATATTATACAACAAAAATGACTACGTGGGCTGTTGTTTTTCTAACGCCAATCCTCTGAAACATTTTTATTATTTATAAATGAATTTATAAATGATGCCTGTGATCGAAATGATATTTGCTAAAACATGCCGTAGGTGACTTAGCTGGGTGAAAAAAATAAAGAGGATGATTCACCTTCAGACGACCTTGGGAGGTTAAATGGACTCCACATATGATACCTTATCTGAACGTAGGATTTTCCGACTACTCTGAATCCGTGATAAATAAATAAGGGTTGTTAGTTAAAAAACAAAGTTGACCTTGAAATGATTTTGAAATTAAACCTTCATGGTCAATATACTAGTCGAAAAGATTAATTTTTTTTATAAAATTTACATATTTAAAAAAATTTCCAAGTTAGAAAAAAATGGGCAAGTAGGGTAGGTGACAGTCAAAAATAATACCATATATATATATATATATATGTACGAGATCTGTTCAAAAAGTATCGCGAATTTTGTATGTTTTCAAAAATTATTTATTTATTCATGAACATCTTGTAACGGTAAACGTCTTATTAGCGCTAACAGCCCAACCATGAGGCTGCCTGCGAGGGCAGCACCTACCGGTTAATGCAAAGGTGACGAGGGAATTCGGACGAGACGGAACGCGCACGTATGAAAATGAACTAGTCGAGGATTAGCTATCGATACCGCCTGACAGAGTGGAAGATTAGAACCCGCACACCCAGCTACTGTTAAGAAGGACCAGAGTTTTTCCCGAGTTTTTTCGGAGTGCAGAGATAAAAAGATAAGGAACTGAGCCTCTTTAACCAAAGCGTAAACACTAATAGGTTTTGAAAGTTGCCGCAAATCAATAATATTGTACCCGTTGGCCCGAGGAAAACTAACACCGGCAACATTCAAACAAAATAAACACAAATTGATAGTTTTATTTGATATAGTATTGTCTTAACGTAAATGTATTTTCTTTAAATATTGCTAGCTATGGTTATTGGTGACTACGCACATAGACGCTCGCTATAATATTTTAGATACTAACCAACACAGCCGCGCTAACAAACAGTTAGTGCGCCTGATAGGCAGGATCATTATATTGCGCAATAGCGAGCAAAGAGTCTTTCGGTAAAAACAACGTTAAATGCCCTTTGTTGAGCCTATTGTCGGCCAGTAAAGTCTGAATTTTTGCGCGTTTGCTTATAAATATTAAATATAGCACTCGCACACGCATCATCCGTCAAACAAGCGTGTAAATTTGAGCGAAAAATTAATAACTAACTATTAATATTTATTTATTATTAATAATTAATTATTAATTATTAATTAATAATTAATAGCGGTATAACTAACGAATGACAATGGACTGCACTCAAAAAGAGGTCGAAGACTGGGTTTTGACGCTCCAAGACGAGGAAATAAACGAATACCTTGAACACTTGGAGCTCAAGACAAGCGGGAATAAGCTCTCGAGAGCTGGACGACTTCTAAATTGGTTATTAGGTGACTACTCTGCGGCGGATTTCGCGGAAGTCGACAACCAACACGGCAATCCAGCAAGAAGGGCAGCCCTACGCTCGAAGCTCATAGTATTCTTATGCGCGGAACACATAGCGTCCGAACAAGAAGGTGAACACTCGCTAGCCCAGCTAATGCAAAGTGCAGAGGTGATATCGCGTATTCAAGAAACAGCGATAAACATTACAAACGTACTGGACGAGGGCGAGAGTACGAGCAGTAATAAGTATATTACTACAACGGCTAATGATGGTAGCCAGTTTCAACTCCATCCGGCATTTGCAGTAATGATCCAAGACCTCATTTTCCGGTCCAGAGAAAATGAGAAGAAGCTCGAGCTGCTAGACTCGTTAAGAGTAAACGTGTAGAGTCTAACGAAGCTATTAGACCAGATATACAACAACTGCAGCAATGTCAAGAGCCAACTGGACGACCTATCCGCCAGAATGAGCGCATTGGAAAATGCCGAAAACAGGAATGTACAGCAAAATAATGCGAATAATTCCGGCGAAATACGACAATAAGAAAATACGCGTAGGAGCGTAGCGTTCCAAGATACCTTCACCTATCATCACGACACCAGGTTACCCCACAGTACTCCAGCTGGACCCGGACAGAGGCCCACGGGGGCCACCGGCAGGATCCCCCGCCGGACGCTCCCTTTCGGAGAGGGTGGACAGCATTAACTCAGTGGAGTTAATGCTGAAGTGAATAACCACCCGCCGAGCACGTGGTTATCTCAGCAGACAACGAACCCTTGGTCGACTACAAGGGATGTTGGTCGCGTTGTCCGAGGATGGAAACTGAAGTTTTCAGGAGAGGGCAACGCGAGCATTGACACCTTCCTGTCTAGGCTGGACAACTTAAGGAATGACGCGGGACTCACGGAAGACGAGATTCTCCTAACGGTATCGGAGCTACTCGTCGGTCCCGCCTTCACCTGGTACGAGGCGACGAAGGAGGAATGGTTTTCCTACGCCAAATTCGAGATTGTCAATTGGACCTGCTGTACGCCAACCTTCTCCCGGACATTCAGGGCCATACGAACCCTGAATGCGCTGGCCACGGCGGCACAGAACAGCTTGCACCAGAGAAAGGCAGAACGGGTGGTACCGTATCCACAATCAACTCTGTACCCGGAGTTAGCGTACCACCCTCGCACCGATGGAAGCAAGTGCCGCAAGGGCAAAGTGGCATAAATGTCCAGCGATAAGCCGGAGGTCAGCGACCGGTTGGACCGGATGGAGAAAGTGCTCGAGAAGGTGATGCACCAGGTCGTCTACATACCGACGCCCTCGGGGGCGACACCTAGTCCGAGCCTAGAGGCAGTTGATGGCGAAAAAAAGGCTCCACCCGCCGATCTACTAAGCCAAGTGCTGTTATCTCTCAAGGAGATATCTGAAGGGATGAAGCAAGCACAACCTCGTTGGAAAAAAACTTGATCTCGGAAGACCGCACTAGGAAGCCGGAAGCTCCTCGAAGACGGGAGAGAGACTTCTCCAAGCCACTCAAGTGCATCGAGTGCGGGTTACTGGGGTACAGCAAAAAGTACTGTCCCCAATGCAACAAGGGAAACGAGGAAAGGAGTGGTTAGGTGGGGTTGACCCCACTCCTTCATCATCTAAGATAAACCCCGTAAACAAGATCTCGTGGCCTTCGCCAACACAGTCAGCACCGATAGTCGCGAGCGTGTTGAGCGACGAGAGTGAGAACTCCCCTGGTGACGCCAATGATGAACGTGGCGGTATAGTGAACGCGGAGAGAGAGGGTATCGACGTTAGTAAAGCCCAAGACCCTGGACCGGCCGAGATGGTGGTGAATGGATCGCACACGCCCTCGGGGGCTCGGGTAACGGCAGATAAACCGTCGAAGGGTAACCCCATGGTAACTCCGATCGTCCGAACCAAGGTGGTTCGAACGACAAGTGGCATCACTTTACCACGCGAAAGCACAGTGGCTAACGCTATGGTGTGCAAAGAGCAAGGCTGTGGAGCCGCCGAATCTGTTTCGCTATATT